TTATGAGGCCATTTCTGGAGCGATCGGAACGGACTTGCAAAACAATGCATGTGTCGCCTTCTGTGACGGACTGGAGGTTTTGCAGGACCCATGTGTATATAAATTATTTTAATTCTTTTGGTGTATATAAATGTTACATTTGTGACTGACTTTAAAGTTAAAACACACATTATACATAAGCCTAAGGCCAACAGGCCTACTTTTTTAGTTACCGATACATACGAGGCTCGTCCACAAAGTAAGTTTCCCTGGAACCGTTTACAGAAACAAAACACAATTTCATGGAAATATTTATTGCAACAGATACAGCAAGTGTCCAGCTATTTTTCAACATATTCGCCACCGGAATTGAGACATTTGTCATACCATGGGACCAACTTTTGAATACCTGTGTCGTAGAAGTCTGCCGCCTGGGATTGGAACCACGGTGTGACAACCATCTCCGCCTCTCTGTCATTCTCAAAACGCTGACGCTGACCAGACAGGAATTTCTTGAGGTGTAGGAAAAGATGGAAATCACTGGGAGCGAGGTCCGGGCTGGAGGGTGGATGATTAAACACCTCCCAGCTGAACTCCTTTACAGAACCAAAACACAATTTCATGGAAATATTTATTGCAACAGATACAGCAAGTGTCCAGCTATTTTTCAACATATTCGCTACCGGAATTGAGACATTTGTCATACCGTGGGACCAACTTTTAATACCTGTGTCGTAGAAGTCTGCCGCCTGGGATTGGAACCACTGTGTGACAGCCATCTCCGCCTCTCTGTCATTCTCAAAACGCTGACGCTGACGCTGACCGGACAGGAATTTCTTGAGGTGTAGGAAAAGATGGAAATCACTGGGAGCGAGGTCCGGGCTGTAGGGTGGATGATTAAACACCTCCCAGCTGAACTTCTGCAGGAGACTTGCTGTCCGTCGAGTCGTGTGCGGCCTAGCGTTATCACTGACCGCACTTCACAGTCGGCGGGAGCTGGAATAAGAACCTCCATCTTCAACAGCTGCAACGATGCTACTGTGAGAACGCGGGAAGTGCCGTTAGTGCATGCGCCATGCTACGTCATTGCTCTATCACGTACGCACAGTCGCTTCGCGCAATATAAGGTTTGCTAGCTGTGGGACGAGTGGGAAACTTACTTTGTGGACGCGCCTCGTATTAATCAACACTACTATGTAATCAAAGTTATTATACATGCTTTGCCAACCTAAATGCGTACTGCCCTTAATGCTATTACCTTGTCAGATTCAAGTTTGCATAGAACATTCATAAACACTGAACTAAACGTAACCATTCATGCCCTCAAACAGTGAATACACAAGTACGCAGACGCAACATTGAGACTCCTGACACCTCACCTTTGAAACCAATTTTTATTACTGGTTTGAACGTATTGTTTGAGAAAACTTTCAATAACAAAATCATTACACATTTTCGTACTCACAGATGCGTTATTTAGGGTGGGTTATGTGTGTCATTTTAGCATATTTTAGACGAATTACTTAAATTTGATTCCAAAATATGATAAACAGGAACTCGAAGTTTTGTAGCAATGCTGTATGTATTTGTTGAAAACTGTGTTTGTGATTTCTTGATAGGAAATTCACGTGCCTAGATTGTCTGATAGGCTTCGAATTAGTACCCTCATGAACAAAATCTTTATCTATAGAAGAAGCTCGTATTTGTCGAGAAAAATAAGGAGTATCCTGGGTTCGTATCTGCGTAAGAACAGTTCGGACGACTAGCCTGTTCCAGACCTCATTCGACCTCTTGTGATAAAACGGTGCAGTGCATAGCGAGAAATCAACGAATGGAATTTTCGAGTTTATTTTATTTTTTCTAAAACTTCTACATCTTGTTATATTACTAACATCCGTCGCCTTCAGACAAAACGTTGATCAAATATACGTTTTAGATCTGCAAGTCTGCCCTTTGTATAACTAATTACTTTTATAACGCAAGAAACTGTTCAAAATTGACACAGTAAAGATTTAACAAAAACAAATTCGTGAAAATACCACTACTTTAAAACAATGACATCTTGTGTATCATTGAGAATGAGAAATAGCTTTGTTGTATACAATTCTGCCAAAACTTAACAGTTCCATTTAACAGCTTTCGGTTTATTTTTCTCGTCCACAGTCGGAGACTGGCATCTCAGTATATAAGATCTTTCAGTCTCGACAGGGAATGCATAAATGGATTGAAGCTTACGCACGTGTACGCGGCTATTATTGGGCTCTGCGCAAAAACATTTTTTATTTTATTTTCGTCAACTTATTTAACTACTTTTTCGTCTGTGTAGGACAATTGACACAGCTGCAGCGTGTTTACAGTACTGTCGCACTATTTACCTGGTGGTACTGAAGAATATCACCCAGAATATTACCATAATTAACATTTAAATATTTAAAATATATTAAATAATGTTCTCTATCGAAATGTTCGATTTACATTAGATCATTACATGTAAATCGAACATTTCGATAGAGAACATCATTTAATATATTTCAAATATTTAAATGTTAATTATAGTAATATTTTAATATTAATAGGAATTTTATTGTGATTAGACTGACAAGATTTAAACAAATATATATTTATCACAATATGACGCAACTTTATCATCTCATCACCCAGAAGAAAATTGAATTCTGAATTTCCCCGAATACAAATCGGGTTCCATAAGAGACGGGAACTTTTTAACCGACTGAGCTACTGTCGCCTTCTCAAGACTCTGATGCATGCATCTTATTTAATTTGTTTGTAATTCATTTGATGACAGTCTGTTACTCAGACTGTCATCATTGAAAGGAAGAATGACAACAAGGAATGAACTCTGAAGGACTACAAGAAAGAGGTTGTAGCCTAATTTAAAATACCAACCCAGCAATCTGACTGGAGCGACTGAGTAAAATCACGAAATACGTTTTAGGATATCCGACCTCCCAGATACAAATCAGGAATGCTGGTCACTCGGCCGCCGCGACTTTCTGTATAATTAGTTATTCCGCACAGCAGCAAATAACGTAATGAAATTGTAAAGAATATTTTTTTCTATGAGGATAATGAATATGTTAATTACTTCTATTGTTTGTCCTACTATGTGATATATTGTGTAAGGAGAATTTTTGCAAGGGCCTGATCCAGAGACAGCAGAGCACTTCTAACATAACGGGGCTCAAATCTTGAATGGGCCTGCAGAGACAAGCAAGGAACGAAAGCTGTCACTGGCATTTAAATGAACTATCATCAGGTTTTTGTCGCCCTCAGTCCAACATTATCGACAATTTTAACACCAAGAAAAATTAATTTAAACTGACTCTTGGCAAATCCCCTTTTTTTTTTAAATAAACGTAGCTCAAAATGGGTCATCTGAAACTTCAGCCTAACCTCATGAAACAGAGTCCTCTTCATAAGCGAGTCTAGAAATTCCCCGCTATTTATGGAATTGGAAGGTTCATTATCGTTTTCAGAAGAGTCAGATTCTTTCACGTTACTGTGATGTGTGCTACATGCTCTGACCATCTCATCTTCCTTGACGAATTCATACAATGAAAATCCTTGTTATGCAAATTTCTCTCATTTTTAAATTTCAATGGCATAAATTTCACTGGAAATAAGGGTTATTAAGACATCATAACGTAGCGGTAATTTGGAATGTAGAACGGATGATGTTAACGACGTGTTTAAGTCAGTCTATTTCAGATGAGGAAAACGTTTCTAATTGTAAACAAATCTGTACATGTCAATTCACAGCTAAGGTAGATAGTATACAAAACATCCTCGTTATACGTTGCTACGCTGATGAAAACCGCAAAAGGAAACTTTAGAACGTAATGACGATTTTCGAAGACGATACCTTCTGAACACAAGGCAAGAGTGTTATCGCTGCACTAACCTCCTGGGGACACAAGGCTGATAATCGGTTCATTTTTGTGAGGCACGAAATGAGGTAAAGAGGAAAAATATGTCTTCGCGTTTAATAAGAACCCATCCACAATTCTCCTTAATGGACATGAAATACCACGAAAACAGCTGGTCGGTACTCGGATCGATTTTAGAATGACTCACACGGCTACGTGCTGGGCCGTAGCTAGACGTAACGGCTTATATACAGCCCATTCCGTACCGTGTTAATGAAAAAAGATGCTCAATGACTGTGTAGCTATTAAAGACAGAACGGGAAACGTGGACTGGATTAATCTGGCTCATGACAGGGACTAAACGACGGGCTCTTACCAATAAACGGAAGGTAATAAATGCTGATGTACTGTTCAGTGAAATGAACCTGGAGCGGCACTTCATGGAAATATGAGTGAATGAAGAGAGGAAATCAGGAGTATGGAGGCTCAAGTAGGGGCCAGATGTACAGGCTGTGCCAAAAATATGTATAAACAATGCTGACGTATGCAACGGTTGTGTGTATACATCTTTTCGGGACATTTTGTATACGAAGAAGGCAGAATTGTAGCTCACATTAGAAGGCGAGGGAACAAAGGAATGAAGATAAATTACACTGAAAGAAATAATATGAAATTTAGTAGGCATTATACGCATGCAGAAGTTATCACGATGTAGAAACACAGGAAAAACTGGCGCAAAATGTTGGTAACATTAGCAAATTCGAGGTAAAATGGTATCAGGCACTTAAAAATTATCAGGTGGAATGTGTAACATACTCAGGAGTACAAACGGAGAAAAAGATTCCAGATTCAAATACAAATCATTATTAAGTAGACAATATTATGAAGGAGCTTGCTTAGTAACAAAGAGAATTATAGATGTGCAAAATAAAGGTGACTAATCGCAGTTTGGAGTTTTAAAGAATAATAAATTAAGGTAGATGTACAAATGAGGGAAGTTCCGGGGAATCACTCCTCACCCCCTGAAACTTGTATGTGGCACACTGAAGAAACATCCTAGCCGAGGTACTCCGCTTCATAAAGTTCATAACAACACCGTCATCCACTTTCTGACGATTCTATCTTCCTTTTCAGGTCTGGTGGGCAACATGTTATCCTGCGTGGTCTTCCTCAACACGCACCTCAAGATGAGAAGTTCCAGTTACTACTTAGCAGCGCTATCAGCCGCAGACTTCGGTTTCCTGGCCACGCTGCTTCTCGTGTGGCTGAACAGCAATGTCGGAGTACAAGTATTCAACAAGGACGGCTGGTGTCAGGGGCTAGTCTACATCAGCTCTGTCTGCAGTTTCCTCAGCGTCTGGCTCATCGTGGCCTTCACAGTAGAGCGCTTCATCGCCGTACAATACCCACTACATCGCCCGCATATGTGCACAGTAGCTCGGGCTAAAGCTATAGTCGCTTGCCTGGCTGTAATCGCCCTATTGTCACACCTTTACTCGTTTGTAACTGCCGGATTGGTCAGACAGGAAGATGGTTCAGACGTATGCGATATGCTGGAGGAGTACAGAGAAACAATGAGAATCATCAACATTGTGGACAGCTTGGTGACTCTGATAGCACCACTGATTTTAATCATAGTCATGAACACGATGATTGGGAGGAATCTGTTCGAGTTCAGACGCCGCTTCAGGCAGAACCCAGAAACACAGGCTCCACGAGAAGGCACAAGCATGGAGAGGTCGGACATCAACCTTAATCAGCTTCATGTAAGTAGAACCTCAGCGATAATACATTTCAAGATTCACTGTTGAAATTCCTGGACGATGGCACAGTGTAGATGCATGTGTTTTTAGAGGCGCACCAGTTTCGAAAACAGCGGTTCTCAAAATTTCCAAGTCCTGGGGCCACTTTCACTCCTTGTTATCGACTCTCTGGCCGCAAGATTATGACTGATGAAAATCAGTCGAAACGCCGTTCCAGTATATAAAATAAATTATTCAAATAGGCCTACTATAGTAAAGAGTTTTAGACAGTGCTCGTTACGTTTCTTTAACAAATTCGGTCATTAGTGAGATATTTAAAACTGTTTTTGTACCAGTAATATTTCGATATCAGGTTTAATTCGTCATGTTCGTATTCGCACGCATCTCTCCAAGTGTTCTTTAGTTTGACGCTTCGTAGTTCTTGATCTGACGTTCTTAATTAAGCTGCTCACAGCGATAGGTATTATCAGATATTGACAGCTTTAACAGGGCATGTTATGGTATCATGTACCTAGTTTTCATCACATACGTTGATACAATGTTATAAAAATTGATGTATAAATGTGCCTCATCACGTGGTATGTTTCACGTACTTGCGGAGTGTAGAAATAGCAATAACTCACCAAGAAACAAAATCATACAACTTTTTATAATAAAATCAAACACGTTAGACACGAAATGGCACCGGGATTAGCTGAACGATAAACTGCATCATTCTAATTGAACCCCAAGAGTCGTTAACGTACAATGCATATTAGTGGCGTCGATATTACCAGAAACATTGAATTATGTTCTCGAACCGCGTGAATGATTAATTATTTAGCTAAATTAAGGTATGCTAGTGTTCGTTCATTCATCAAAATTAGTTCATTTCTGTATCGTTTTGACTACGCAGTCAGTAGATTAGACTATACAATGTCGAATTATACGATTATAGCGAATAATTAATTGGAAAAGTTATTGAACGAAGCGGCCGTATTCTACTTTGAGGACCTAACCCGGAAATTTATTTGAGATGTCAGGGAAAACCATGAAAACCTAAGTTAGTCGGTCTCAGGGCCGAAATTTGAATCCAGGATATCCCGAATACGAAGTAGTGGTCTCCATTCGGCTGCGATGTTCGGTGACAATCGAACCGAAGACATCGAATTTCACAGCCAGTAATATACTTCCTGTGCTACATGGACTCATCTGGAGATCGGCGTAAGTTCAGGAAACGGCGAGAAAGAGTTACAATTTCACTTTACATGATGAATTCTAAAACAAATATCAGGTTATTACTTGACACATCATTAAAACACATAGACGTTTCGCATACAGTCTTGTAAGAAGTGATAAAGTGTTAAAAATAACTCAAAACCGTTCCACGGGAGCTCCGTAATTGTTAATTACGTACATGATTTTGATTACAACGAGAAAGCTTCGAGTCGGGTTCATTACGTATTCATGGCGGTTGGAGTGGAGAAAACAACCCCGGCGAAACTTCTGCGTGATTTGCAAGTAGAAACCTCAAAAACATGTGATCGACCGAGCACAGAGGGAACAAAGAGACGGGGCGAAGAAATAATTTGTTCACAAGACCAAATAATACAATCACAGTATGTAATCAAATGTCCATCTACATAAACAGGAAACCGTATTACCAACACTAATTGCATTACTGACGCAGTAGAGACGCGACGCGTCTGATTTGTGATCTTTACGTATCTCATACGGGATGCGACATCTGACAAGAGATGTTTCTACGTCCAAACACAGCGTGAATTCCTTCTTTTGTATTTAGAATTTACCGACACGTATTCTCGGACCAGAGCCGGCTATCCTCACAGATCAGATGATAACAGCTGTAACAATTAATCTATTCTACAGGAATCAGTTAATCACAACCATAACGTTTAATTTACTAGATACTAATCCGGTTAATAACAGCTATGAATAATACGTATGTTCGATATTACTCAGTTGATCAGAGCTATAACAGTTAGTTGTTCGAAATAAATCAGTAAATCACAGTTATGACGGTAACTTTGCTTGATACATTAACTTAATCACAGGTATAACGCTTATCTGCTTGAGGGGGGAATAGATAATTATTATTTATTATTTTATTTAGTGTTCTGTCTGACGACAGGTCCATATGAACAGGATCCTTCCATCCTTTTCTCGGACTGGGACCTGTTCATATACGTTCTTGGCAGATGATCCAGAAGTGGTTTGGCATTGCCTTCTTCTGTGTGTGAATGGGGTAATTGTTGGGATGCCACGGAGGAAACCTCTGTGTTGGCTAGACCACGGCCTTGCCCAACACAAGTTATAAATTCGGGCACCGCCGGGAATCGAACCCGAGACCCCAGGATTACAAGGCCAGCGTTCTAACCGCTAGACCACCGTGGCTACTGATAGATAATTACAGCCATAAAACTATCAGAGTACATCATAAAATAAAGAAGGCATATCAAAAATCACTGCTCGTCACTGCTGGTGCGACTCAATTACGTTTTGAAAGGACAGTCGGTGTTGCATTAGTGATACATCAACGAATAGGTTACGTTTGAATTTCGTTGACTGTCGTCATAACACTGCTGATAAATGATAAAAAGGCTTTGTGGAGTAATGCATTTCTAGTAAAATTACTCTATGCTCTATGACCCTCAGCCATGTATTGCTACAGGCTTTATGATTCTCTTTACGTTTACTTGTACAAAACATATCTAGGTGTTTCTGATGTTATTAGCAAGGATACACACAGAATATGCACTTCTCAACTTCCCTTTGATTGAAGTTTTACTTTCAGAAATCAGTGCAATAAAATTCTGTGGCTCAGACGTAAAAAGTACCTTAATAGTTTCAACTTTGGCGCTTTTATAGTAAGTTATAATAATCTTTAGAATGAGTACATTTAGTGTCTGAAAGCAGTAAATCCTTTCAACGATATCAGCAAATGAGAAATATAAATGCCAGTCAAAACTGTTACTTGGAATAAAGGTAAGAAACAGCAGTTTAAACTGACTACTGCAAAACTCAGCTTAATATTAAGTTTAAACTGTTTATCTTTGACGTACAGAATTACATTTGACTGCAACCCGATCTTCAGAAAACATAACTGGAAAGAAAGGCTCCTCGCTCTGTAATCTTAAGACAAAATTGGAAGTAAAATTTATGTAGTGAGGCGGGTATTTCACTAAGAAGACCTAACAGGAAGTAATTATAAAAATAAATTCAAATTACGTGTATACAGTTTACATGTAATGCATTTCTCTGTCAAGTAATTCAGTAAAGGAAGTTTTTCATATTAACTGCATATTTTTACGTCAGTGTCTCATTAGAGATAATAACCTACGAATTGAATAAAAATAAAAAATAATTCAGTCCTGAAGATGGCTGTCTTCTGAGTTGTTGCACCGTGTAGTCTGGTAGATGTTTACTGACGTTTCAGAGGTTCTTGCTGCCTCCATCATCAGATCGCCCTGACGATGGAGGCAGCTATCATAACAAATAAATATATTTTTCCGTCCAAAATTGATACATGGAAAATAATTCACAGCGCACTTTACAAAGTTATTCTCATGCCACAAACCAATGAACAATGGAAAAACGGAACTATCAGTGCAGTAGAAATATGAATATAATTGTGAAATGTTTAATGTCGCTTTTAGAGTTCAAAAAACAGAGTGTCCCAAAACGATGTATCCAGAGAAACAACTTTGGTTACCACTGTCAACTGTGCCACGAAGCTAGCGGTGGTAATTTTGAACACCCACACTAGATTCGCTTTTTCACCAAGTACCAATGGTGACGTATGTAAAAGTTTGTCTTTATTCAATTCGTTGATAAAGTGTATGCATCTTTTTGGGACCACCTGTGTGACATGCTTTTGAGGAAGCCTTCGAGTTTATCCACCATTCTCTTTCATTTACAATACAGGCTGCAGGCCTTATCTATCGAAACTGTCTTATTAATACGAAGACTGCTGTCTAACGGGTTGTAACTATTATCAGACAAGATTTGAGTCTGGAGGGCCTGCGTCCTGGGATCAGTAAGAGAATCGCTGATCAAATTACTGGCATTCCCTGATTGACGACGGATTATCAGAGACAGAACCAGGTATATCCTCGCAGTTCAGAATGCTTCAGTAGAGACTGGTAATGAGGAATATTTCGCCTGTGGCACATTTATACAACGTTCCAAGAACTTAATACGTTATTTATACAGGCTGTTTGTGAAACACGGCGCCACTTAGGGGTGTCTGCCAGACTGTTTTTTTAAGGGATGTATCCTTTTGTGTGTAATCGTTATTTAGGCAGACAGAAAGCATGTATACAAATTAACAGTCATGTCTATTAGTTTCGGACACTTAAATAGAACTACGTGAAGATGATTAATTAAGGTCGAAACATTAAAAATTATAATTAAATCCGTGGCGTAACAGCTCCAGAGATCCAAAGCCGACTAGCTTGACTGCTGGCCTCACGTTCACATGCCTAAGCAGAGGTGAACGAAAGGTCGAAACATATAGTGGATTATTAATAAATACTGGAACTACAATAAAAAAAACGTATGCAGATGGAATGTCATCCTAACGTTCTACCAGAGTGCACTGCGTAAGAACACAGAAGACAACCATCTTCAGACTCAATGCCGTGAGAACTTGATATCACACATTCTAAATTCTGTTCGCGTGATGCTGAAAGTCGTCTGAGGCTCCACGCCACGAACTGCACCAACGTCGCAAGTGTGTAAACAATTATCCAAACTTCGTTTCGAAGTTTTGTCATCCTAATTCGATGAAGAGCCTTTGCGGCAACCTGTACCTCCAGACTGGTACCGCTGATCCGGCTGTTTCAAACGACATCAAAATCAATTTCGACCTCGAGATACAGGGATCAAATACTAAATGAAAATCCTGACATGACGACTTCATGAAATGGCTCTCAGCACCTCCCGCACAGAACCACAAAAATAGCTGCCCTTAAAACAGGCTTCAGTCACCAGTTTCAACTTCT